TTTTTTTTAATACTAAAATTTGTTTTTTAAATTAGAATTTGTATGACAGGCTGGGAAAAGAGCATATTGTCTGTGGTAGAAGAAATTATATCTCAGTTGAAACTGTGATAACGTAAGCATGGAAAGGTAGAATGAATTAGCCACTCAAAACTTAAGTTTTAGGTAAGAGGGGCCTATGAAATAATCCAAATGCCTTATGAATCTATAAGCAGAACTCAGGAAGGCTGTCCCTTTTGCCTTTTAGATAATGCCATGACTAAAACTGAGATTTTAATTTTAATACATGGAACATTTTTCCACCAGAGGGAATTGAAATCTTTGTCTTTGGTCCCTCTAGCATGTGTTCACATCGTGCGTCTACATGAGCTTGTCCTTAGAAACCTAACTGGGGGTGATGGGAGATGCAGAAAGGAAACTGACAGAAGACGCAAACATGCATAAAGCTGGGGCCAGGTAGGCTGTGTGCTCAGATGGAGACACACCAGCCCCCTCCATCTCCAGTGAGTTTATTTGTATATTTGGCAACACGAGGTGGAAAGGCATTTCTTGGGGGAGTGGGTGTGACACTGTAATCCTCAGTAACAGGAGGAACCTGTGATAGCCTCTCTCTGAATGTAAACATTAAAGGAAAAAACAGTTGTACTGCATTTTGCCCACCTCTGCAGCTGAGGCTGTGCCAATTCAAGTGTGTAATTTATTGGGCATAATTATGCTTGCTCCCTTCTGTGGTTTGGGGCTGTGCCAAACTCAAACACGTAACTTATTCAATACACCAGTCATCTCCCCACATGCATATGAGGCTGAGTGCATGGGTCCATAACCCCCACTACATGGTACTTTGGTCAGGAGATCAAAAGAAGCAGCCTAGGGTCACAACCTGCAGCAACCTGGGTATGACCTAATCCCACCTCCTGGTCTTGACATGTCTACAATGGGAAAATAGCCCATGTCAAAAGCAAGACATAAAGGAGAAATCTGTTAGTAGAGTGTTTAGGCAGACTTACAGGCTTAATTTTTAGGTGGGAGACTAGCAGTTTGGGATAGAAAAGTACCTCCAATCATTAATCACATGTCATTTAGATTTCCAATTGACTTTATGTTTGTAGTTCTGGGATCATGTGAATCACTCAGGATACTGAGAGAAGTGACAATTTGACTTGAGCAGGACTTTTCTTTCCCTTTCTCCTTGTCCATTTCTGTCTCTGTTGTCCTCACTTGGATGACAGGAGAGGAGACAAGAGCCAGCTATGGAGTAGGAAGGGTAAAAGTAACATCCATCATGGGTGAGACAGATTTAGAGAGAAGAGATTCAAAGTGAAACACTACTCATACCTTGTGAGATGATAAAAAGGAAAGGATGACACAGCTGGGTTAAAGTCAGAAGAGGAGGTTTTTAATGAAAGCCAGAAAAACCTGGGTGGAGGGATTTTTCTTAAGGAGAAGAACACAGAGAAGGACAGACTAGAGCACAGATAAACAGAGACCTAGATATAGGGAGACCTTGGACCATGTCTCATAGCATTGGAAGTTTTTGAGATCTTACTGACTTTGGAAATTGAAAGTGCCCTTTTGGGGACAACAGTTACTATTGTCCAATTTATATTGGGACCAAATTGTTTTACAATAAGAGAATTAGTTGTTTGGGTTTGGTGGTCTCTGTGAGCCCCAGAAACTGAAGATTTTGGAGAGGACATGCTAATGGACTATTGTTAGGGGCTTAGGTGACTTTTTTTTTTTTTTTTTGCTGTGAGCTGAAACAGAAACATTAAGTTTAATGTTCTAGGAACTAACAAAGTTCTAGTTTCATTACACATGAAATCCATTGTAGTAATGAAAGTCACTTTTTACTCGATCCTCTTTTGCAAAGAAAACTACACCGAGATAAGTAAAAATGAGTCCTATGCTTCCATTCCATTCCAGATGGAATACTCCCATGAGCTGTGGAATGCAGCTTGCTCAGAACTGGATGAAAACAACCGGCTCTGCGTTCACTACAGGAGGATGTCAATGGGAAGTGTCTGAAGCCCTTTAAAGGCATTTGGTGTCAGTATTTTAAAAGATTAAGATGCTTTAACAAAACTCTTTCAAGAATATCAGAGATTTAGGACTTGTCTTCATAAATAACCAAATGTCTATATCTTCGACTGTCTGCTCTGCTGCTGAGCTAGGTGACCAATAGTAACCAAAATAAAACAATCTTCTGAAAACTCCCTAAGAAAAGCCTTGCACAAACAGGTGGTTTCTTCAACCTGTGTCAGGCTCCAGCAGCTGACTCTAAGCTCTTGCTGAATAGCACTGCATGTACTCTGTCACCCACGGGTTCTCTGCAGAGACCTTCACCTCCCTGTTCTTCTCCACGTCCACAGAGTGAGCTCGCTGCCGCTGGGCAGCCAATTTCCTTTTTTCCACCTGTCTTCTGTTCTTGGCTGGTAATGCTGATTCATGAATCTCATGCACAGAGGCAGCCGCACAGACGTTGTGGGTCTTCTGGCTTCCTGTATCCATCTGTTTCTCTCCCCAGCCATAAAGAGCAAATGGATGCTTGTTTTCTTTTATCTGACTTGCTGATCTTTGGGGACTTCTGACTGCTTTCTTACTCTCTCTAGCAAATAAGGCACTTGGGTGCTGTCGAGGCTTGACGCTGACGGGTAACTTGTCAGAGGTCTCTTTTGTTCTGGTTTCTTGTTCGGGTTTTTCTTCTACTTCTTTCACTGGCAGTGCTGACAGCGCCGCGTCGTGCTCCTCCGCGGCCTCCACGTCCCCAGCCTCCGCATCCCTGGCCTCCGAGCCCCGCTGCTCTGCGCTCGGCTCCCCGGCCAGCTGCTCCGGTTCCTCCCGCTCCGAGGGCTCCGCGGGCTTGGCGGGCGCGCACCGGGGTGCGGCCTGGACGAGACCGAGCTGGACAAGACCGAGCTGTCGAGGCCTTCCGGGCCCCAGGCGTCCCAGAGCCAGGGCGCGTGCGCCTGCTCCAACAGTCGGCGGCCCTGGCGGTAACGCAGCAGCTCGCGGTAGCACGGCGCGTACTCGTCCCAACGCGGCTCCCGGTAGCGCTTCATGTACTCGCTTTTCACCCCGCCGCCCGGGGACATGGTGCCGCGCGCCGCCGCCTGCGGAACCAACACGACACAGAGGCCGGCTCGCCGCGCGGTTCAAACCCCTTAGATGACTTTTGACCCAATTTTGTGGATTGGAAATTAAGGGCTCAAAATCAAGATGGTTTCAGTGGGAGACAATTTCAGTGGACTTAAGGTCTGAAACCAAGATGATTCTCATGCCTAGACTGAGATCAAGAGTCAGAAATTGAGACAGTTTCAGTGGACCAAATTTCCAAAATTGAGAAAATTTCATAGGAAATAAGGTCTGAAATTGAGGCAATTCTTGTGGGACCTAGACTGAGATTGAGAGGTGGTGAACAATCCCTACAGTGGCCCTATCTGATAGGAGAGATGTATGAGAAGGCAGGAGCATCTCCACTGCTAACTGATAGCCTACCTGTGTATGCACCTGGATATTTTATAGGTGTCCCCAGAAAAATAGCAAGTGAATCCACCCAGTCTGTGGATGGAGGGAGTCTTTCACCTGGTGAGGGCTTTTGCAGTCCACAGTAGGAAATAGAAAGAAACCCAAATAGAAGGGGAAACTCACCAAAATTTGAAGGCCAGTGTTGGATGGAAGTCCAGCAACAGGGAGATGGCCTCTGGCAGAGCCATCAAAGAAAGGAAAGAAAGGGTGGGAGAACAGCAGAAACAAAAAATGGGGTAATGAGACAGCAGTGGCAGAGGAGGAAGACTTCAGCCTACTCAGGGTCCAAGAGTGAACCTGTGAAGTGCTGCTGCTGTCCACTGCTTTCCAGGTTGTGAGAGTGGAGAGCTGGGAGTCAAACATACACACCTGTCCTGGTTTTAGCACAATATGTTAGAATTAAAGAATAGTGTGTAATGGATAGACAAGGAGATGGCTCATATGGCAGCACAAGGTTTATTGTGGGGAAGTGGCCCTGTGTGGGAGGACCCCAGCAAGAGCTCTTGAGTCCACATCCACTTACAGACTGAGATGGATAAAAGAAGTGGGTGGAGAAGTCCCAGGAAGGTCACTGGATAGGATAATCCTCAATGACCCTCTGACATTTCCAAAATAATGTTTACAGGTGGGTTATGGCTTAAGGCAGATGTCTGTTTTTCTTTAGGGCCAGGTGGAGAGTTTTCAATAAGGTGACCTTCAAGGGAGTGGGGGCCCAGTTCCAACATGGCTTCCTTTTGTTCATCCTAACAGATGAAGTATTCTTGGTTGGCAGTTATTCATTCTCAGACCTTTGAATTATATTCTTCCATGCTTTCATGGCCTTCTGCGTTTGATATGACAGGACTGGAGTGATTCTTATATCTTTACCATTGTATGTAACCTGGCAGTTTTCTCTTGAGGCTTTCAGGATCCTTTCATTTTTCTTCAGTTTTGGCATTTTAATTGTGATATAACATTGGTTATTCCTTTCTGGTAATGTCTATTTGGAGTTTGAACTGCCTCCTGTACATGGATGTCTATATAATTACATAGATTTGGAAAACTTTCAGCTATGATTTCATTGAATAGATTTCCTATGCTTTTAGTTTGTATTTCATCTCCTTCTTCAAGTACATGGATATTTAGATTTTATATTTTGATTGTTTTTCAGAGTTTCTTATGTTGAAATCACAGGTATTCATTTTGTTTTCTTTGTTATTGCTTGCATGAAATAACTACTCAGTCTTTTCTTCCACCTTTGTTATTCATACTTCTTTGATCTTGCTGATGATAATATTATATACTGTGACTTTTATTTGATTTATTGAAGTTTCCATTTCTAACATTTCTAACTTGTATATTTTTCATAATTCCCATTTCCTGGTTGAATTTCCATTCCTTGTTGCTGACTTTCTTGTCTAGGTCTTGGATTAATTTCCTAAATTCATCTATCTGATTATTTGAATCCTCATCAAAGTTATTTATCATTTTTAATAGTGGTCTCTGAATTTTTTCTCAGACATTTTTCCAATTCATCATTTTTGGATGCAGATGTTGAGTTGTGTGGGATTTTAGAAGGAAGAAATTGCCTTGGTTTTTCATATTTAAATTTCTATGATTTGCATATTTGTCATTCTAAGTTTCTCTTTTACTTTCTTGTGTAAGTAGAGAATTTGTTGCAGTAACAGGGTTAACAATTCAGCAGTAAATCAAATGTTTGAATGAGTAAGAAATAATTGGAACACTTATCTGACTCCCTACTAATATTAGATGGGGGAAATCTCTGGCTTTGTGGGTTACAATCTGCAGCTTAACACTTTTTTGAAAAATATAGGAATTAGAAACTTACTTCTGTAGGCATTGGATATCAGAAGGAAGTAGAGTGGGATGATAAAAAGAAGAGGAGGTAGGTGTAGGCATAAACAGTACAAGAGAAATCTATACATTAAACCAGAAAAATGTAGAATGATTTGGAGAATAGAGATAAAAGCGAGATAAAGATAAAAAGAGTTTCCAACAATTAGAAATGAAAATAAAGAGAAAAAGGACAAAAGTAGCCAAACAAAACAAATTTGATGAAGAGAAAAATCAAAACAAAACAAAAAGCACTTATATTTCTTGCTGGAGAGAAGTATCATCAGTATTCTCTGTGTCATGTTCAAGTTAGAGCTTCTTGTCCTGGTTGTTAGAGGAACAGCTTCAGGAAGTTGGAGTTGAACTTCTAGTTTAGAGTGTGGGTAAAGACCTCAGGGTAGGGAAGTTGGGACAGTGTGGTTGAAACCCTCCATGGTGCTTCTATTAAAGAGTTTTGCTCTCTACATTCTTTTGGTTCTACATGGCCTCCTAGATGGGGGCAGGGCGACTTTTTGTTGAAATGTGGAGAGATCTGAGCAGGTAGGGCCACTCCTTCAGTGAGTAAGGTGCAGGTAGCCTGAAAGGGCAGGATCACTGACCTCTGTGCCTTCTGTTGCTTTTCAGATTGTCCCAACAAAACCTCCCCTCCTCTATGTCTATCTCTAGTGGCAATCTTCCACACAGACAATGTGATTCTGAGACCTAGAACTCCCCAAGTGGCAACCTTTTAAATCTCCAGAATTTCTATTTCAAATCTCTCAGCTTTAACTATTTGCAGAAGAGCAGCTGCTCTAGCTTGTGTTCTCTGTCAGTGGGGGTTTGGTTTATTGCTTTTTAAATTGACCTATTGAATGGAGCTGCTGTGGAGGGATTGGGCAGGATCACCAATCTTTGGGCATTTCTGGTGCTTCTTGGACTCCTGTCAGGAACCTTCAGATTGCCTCATCTGAATCTCTCCTCATAAAATCTGCCTCTGGTGGAGGATCCCCATGAAGACACTGTGGATGGGTATCCCAGAACTCTCTGAGCTGTGACTTTTTCAAGTCTTCTGAATTGCTCGGCCCTAAAGGTTACCTGCCTACAAGGAAATTCAGAGATTTTAGCCTTCTGTCAGCAAAGGTTAGGTGATCTGTTTTGGAAAATTTCCACTGGCAGTTAGTGGGGATTGGGAATTCCCTACCTTTGCTCCTTTTAACTCTTCAGCTTGCTTCAAGTTAATGCCTCTTCCTTTCTAGGAGAATTTTGTGGCCATCCCTTCTCATACACTGTGGCCAGGTGTTTCAAGATGCCCTGAGCAGTGATTGCTCCTTGTTTTCTAGATCCCCCAAGTAGCTCAGACTTGATAAGGAAGCCCTCTCTCAAGGTGGAACCTTGCCACAGGTCTTTGAGGCATAGGGAATTAAGGTTTGTCTTGTCTCCTGCTGGCCTACTGCCCTGCAGTTAGCATTTCAGATGGTAAAATTATTGTCTCACTGCTAGGTGTGCTAGTCTGTCACTCTGTCAAGGCAACTGTCAGGCCTACCATGAGGTGGAGGCTTCAGCTTTTCCTCACCCCAGGGATAGCTAGAGCTGGAACTGTAAACTGTTTCTTGATTTATTCTGTCATCATTCTGATTTGTCATCTTTTCAGATATCCTGTCAATCTTTTGTCATTGACAATGTTCTTCCTTGATTTCCAAACTCTTATTCACAGGGTCCAAGGGAGAAAGTTTCTACTCTTCCTTCATCTTGTCCTTCTCCTTCTGTAATACTTTTTGTGGAAGATTATGAGAAGACAGAATGATTATGAAAAGAAGGGAAGAATAATTGTAAAACTAGCTGATGATTAGAAGAAAATATTAAAAACACAACTAGACTAAGCTGGGTAGTTATAGCTTTTGTTTTACCCAATATTACTTAGCAATCTTGCTTTACCAAAAAAGATATATTGCTTTGAATCCTGGATATTTTGATTAACATTTAAATGCTTCTAATTTTGTTTATTTCTGTCAAGGTAGCTAGAATTTATGCACTTACATGGTATTTTTCAATGCAAAGTCAGAGGTCAACATGATAAATCCTGTAATTATCAAAATTACAATTAAATGCCATTAATATACTTTAAAAATCTTCAGAAACAATACCTCATGCCCAGTTGGAAATCTCAAGCACTACCTATTCATGATATAGTCTCTATCCATATCATGTGAACACTGAAATAAATGAGTAAAAATACATCACTGTTAGATAGAGATAGGTATTTACTGGGAAAATTGAACTAGAAAACAGGATGTGAATTATTGATGAAATATTGAAGTTGAAACCAAGATCAAAGACACATACACAAAGAACATTAGAAAAGTCAAACTTAAAACCCACTACTCCTATTTCAAGACTAGTGGAACTGGCCTCTGGATTGTCAACAACCAAAGCTTGAAGGCCAAAGCCAAGGAATATGAATACACTGAAGAAGTCAGCCAATATTTTGACCCTTGCCCATATGGATGATCATTTCCAATACTTAGGGGATGATGGGATTCATTTAATAGGACCATGCATCTCCAGTAAGTCAGCCATCCTCTTTATCAGAGAGGCCACTGTGTCCACAGGGATTGAGCTCTAAGCAGTGCATGTTTTGTGAAGAGGAGGGTTATTAAAGAACAGAATGCCCCCAATACTTCCAATGGAAGCCATATGGTCAGGACCTTAATTTATCCCAGCAAATGGCACAACAGGTAGAGAAAACTAAAGGAGG